CCCCCCCCCCCCCCTAAATTAAATAACTTCTAATAAGAGACTTCCCCGAAGGCGGAGTTTTCTTCAGAGTATTTAACAGAAACCTTGCTTTGTTACATCTTGGCGTTTTGTTATTACCATTTATTGTTTTGTTGCAAAATAAACGTACTACACTTGCTGAAAATGTTGAAAATTTAATAAGCGCCCAGTCTCGAATAAGCGCCCACTCTCAAAGTCCAAAAATTTAATAAGCGCCCAGGGCGGTTAATCGAATAAATACGGTACCACAGGATTGGTGTGGAACGCCAACATGGCCGCCCTGACGTCATGTGAAAACGCTCTATTAGTAAACACACTATTAAGGGCTGACGTTAGAAACATCCACGAATGGTATTAAAAAGAAATAATTAATAATGAAGTGTTAAAAGTTTTTAGAAAGACCCTTACCCAGTTATTTCCATAAGGAACCACCTGAGTTGTATATTTAAACTATGCCGGCATGCAAGAATAAACACAGCACCACTGTTAATTAAATCAAAATGTTATGCTTATCTAATGGCGCTTTCCATTCGTCATAACTGACCGGCCAGACCATTCCAGTCATAATGAGAATTTCACTTTTAATCAAAACTATCCAGTCAGATCAGTCAAATCCTAAATAGCATGCACAAAGGAGATGGTGTTTCAACCATCCTCGGAGACCCAGGGGCAGATAGTGGGGGCGAGGGAAAGTGTAAACGGGCGGAAAAATATGGCACGAAGAAAAGTAAAGAACGGCGAGAAGATCCCTGGGGACAATGTCTTACCAGACCAGTTCCAAACGGTCGCCGCCATTCTGGCTTCTGACTGGGCAGAAAAACACAAAAGTTTTCTGGCACCAATCAGCATCCAGAACGGCTGTGACCGTTTGGAACTGGTCTGGTCTTCTCGCCGTTCTTTACTTTTCTTCGTGCCATATTTTTCCGCCCGTTTAGACTTTCCCTCGCCCCCACTATCTGCCCTTGGGTCTCCGAGGATGTGTTTCAACAAAAACTCTTGGAAAAAAGCATTTTTCATTGTCAAAATGACTGGTCTGGCTATGGTCCAACCGATCAGTTCTGACTTTTGGAAAGCGCCCTAAAAGACATCTTTTACAGATCTAGAGCTGAGGTGGTATATCTTCAATCTATCATTAACGACAACTTTCTTAACATTTTATTGGTTATTAATTAATTAATTTTAATTATCTATTTTTTATGCTATGTATCATTTCTTTTTTTCGGCTTCGCTTTGAACAATCCACTTGTTCGAAAGGCTATTGTATCAGAATTTGGCCAGGGTCAAGAACAATAGATTTTGTTTAGTAGCTTTAGTTTTATCACACGTGAAGTTCCACGTTTAATCCTGACCTTAATCAACATTTTATAACTGGTAGGTAAAAAATATTGTATGCACGAATAACTTGCGGTTAAAACAACAGAGGCTGTATGTTAGCTACTAAAAACTTTCTCATGGTACTGTTTATTATGCTGTACACGGTGGTTCTAACCTTTTTCATCTGTGGGCTATTCAAGTTAATGCTACTGAGCAGCACTTTCCTGTGGCACTGTTTATTATGCTGTACAAGGTGGTTCTAACTTTTGAGTCTGTGGATGAAATCGTAAAGTGTGACCATTCAAATGAAAGCTACTGAGCAGTACTTTCCTGTGGTACTGTTTACTATGCAATACAAAGGATTTCTAACATTTGAGCCCAGGAATAAAATCTTTAAGTTTGACCAATCAAAAGAAAGCTAATGAGCAGAACCGGTGTCCTCTAGCTACTGCACGCACCTGACAGTAATGGCTACCCTGCTCAACAGGTTTTACTTCAAATCTGCGCACGGTGTAATGAGCAAACGCTTCTTCATCAAGGTATGTCACTCTAAGGGGACCATGAACTTCTGTTTTTGCTTGTTTGGAAGGCCAGTACATGGTACATTTGTGCTGCAACAAAATTAATACTCAGTAAATGATCTAATTGACACACCCATTCAAAGGAATGCCTCTTGTCTAATAAACGCCCTCTCTACGATGTTCGGTTTTTATTAAATACCCCTCTCTAATCAGTGGCAGATCTAAAGGAGGGGCCCGGCCAGCCCCCCCCCCCCCCCCCCCCTCCCTACTTACTTTTAAAACCAAAGTGAGGCCCGAAGGGTCGAAAAACTTTTTTTTGGGAGACTGCCGGGTCTGGATGACCGCCCCCCCACCTACCTCAAGGTCTGTATCCGGCACTTCTTGTAAACACCCTCTGTTTAACAGAATACTCGGACAAGTGTCAACGGGGCCTTAAGGTCTTTTTAAGGCCAAAATAGCTTCTTTCATTGCTACAGTCAAACCTTGTTTATACGGAATCTGAGGGGCCATAGAAAGTCTCGGTATTTACAGGGTTGAATTTAGAAAAAAATAAGGGCGTTCGTTCCCCAGGGATAAAGCAAACTGTCCGTAATAATAAGGTGTCCGTATCAAGTGGGTGTCTGTCACGCAGGGTTAAGTTTGACTGTATTACAGACTAAGCGATTGCTTACCAGTTACCGCTTGTTTCTTTCGATTACACGCCGCAACGCTTGTTAAATTCTTAGCGTTTTTGATGCCGTGTTTATCCCAAGGCGGCGTTTACATGTATTTTCAAAATCACATTTATTAAATCGCTCACAACAACATCGCTCACAACAACATTCAATTGAAGTTATGTTAAAAACGTGAAATTGGGCATTTTTACATCGTAGTCGTGCAGTGACGGCAAAGAAATGTACATAAAGTGTGATGCACGTGCAAAGTTGTTGTTTTGCCAATCTAAGCCTATTGCTTTTCAGCCGTTTTCGTTGCCGTCGACCCTACTGGCCAATTTTTACCCCTGTCCCTTGCAATAGTCCCGAACGTTTTTGCGAAAGTTAACTTTACCATTTTTCTTCTTGTTTCAAAAGTGGTGAATACAACATACCCTTCCTCTTTCAATAATTTTTGTTATCATGACAATGACTGTACAGTTTTGCTCCCAGACCATCCGCCAAAAATCACTGATGGTGTTGGCCACGGGTCCTGTAACACAGGGGAGAACAAAACGAGAACAATTGTTAATTAGAAAGTTGTTACTGGGGTCAAACATTTAACGATATTATTGAATGAGATTGAGTGTGAGGAGGAGAGTGTTATCCGCTTAAAATATGCAAAATGTTTCAGATCATACAAAAACCCAATCCAAGAATTTTTTTTTTATATTTATTCAAAACAATTCTTACTTTAAAAACATAGTTAGCCTGTGTAAAGAAGCCCCCTTCCCTCAGTCAAAAAAATTTTACTGAGGGGAGGGGGCTTCTGTACACAGGCTAATACATACTCGCATCATTATATGTTTCTGGGAATCTGCCCACATACCCCTCCCCTAAGCCAATATTTTGCCCTAAGTGAGAACCACGTGTTAATGTTGGTTTAGGGAAGGGGTAGGTAGTTCGGTTTCCGCCTTCATTTGCCTGTTTCTCGACAAATTTAGGATATAAAAGGATGTTCAATTTAGCAGATATTTTTCAAAAAAAAATTGTCACCAGTCGAGTTGTATTTTTGCTGTTTTTTACTATGTTTTTATGCAGTAGTATAACTATTTTTTTCCAGAAATTTTTCGCCAAAATCGCTGAGCTGACGCAACCTTGTCCGCCCAGGGCTTCTCGGTTGCAATACCTTTTTCTAAAAAACAACAAACAAACAAAAACTTTATTGTAAGAATTAACTTAAGTAATCACACTGGCCCACAGGTAGCAAACGCTAATCTAGGCGGGTCAGACAAACAACTGCATGAGAGTTAAGGAAACGATAACTTTGGAGTTTGAGAGAAAAATCAGTTGAAACTTCAAAGGCCTAATTATAATTATTTAGCCAGTCCAACTTTTTGTATGATGATAGAAACTATACTCACCTTGGGTTGCTATATAAGCATTAGCTTTTTCAAAGCTCTAAAGAAAAAGAACAGAATCTTAGATTAAATTACAGGCAAACCCTTGTTAAGCAGTCACCCATTGGGAATGGCTTAAAGACCGCTTAATACAGGTTGACTGTATGATAACGTGAGAGTTATTCAAGAAAATGAAGGTATGGTAGTCAAAGACCGAAATATCTATGCCGAGACAAATTGACGTCCGCCTGTTTCTAAATCTTCTTGGGCCAAAAGAAAAAACAGTTAAAGATCACTTGATGCCATACACAGTGCGACCTATTGCACTAGTATGGTACGTCTTCTCAAAGCGACCGTTTCATAGAGGTGAAGACAATAAAAAATAATTCGTTGGGACCTCGGAAAAGGTGACTGCGACCGCTTAATAGAGTTCACGGGTTAATACAGGAGCCGCTTTAATAATACAGGTCAGTTTAATTAACATTAATGAATGAGGCTGAGTATCTTATGACGAATTATGTAGATCGAGGTGGATAACACCCTCCGAGATCTCCATAATTCTTCATATGATACAAAAGCCGAATTCATTAATTGTTAACTATGTGTAGCCTAGCTGTTGAGGCATTATTTAATATGGGCACATTTTACTTTAAACACAATTTCATAATGCCACTTACATCAATGTAGTTTGCATTAATATAATGAGATTCAGGGTCGTTTTCTGTTAGAGAAAGAATCACCCTTGAATGATCATCTGAAAAGGACAACAGCAAACTTACACATGGGTAAAACACAAACATTAGCATTATTTCTATGATTGAAGACTGGAAAAAAAATGTCTGCTGAAACAGGTGACGCATGGCAGCACATTGAAAACTCTGTCTCAGATGCACTTTAATGACGATGATTATTGAGTAATATTCTTGTCCTCTACCACACATGCTATGAAAATAAGGGCAAGGGTCTGCCTGATATATGGGGGTTCATTATATTGGTCTTCCAATATATATAAACTTGTAAATTACTAACATACACTGCAGTGTACTGAACTTACAAGCTACAATATTGTTAAATCTGTTCTTGGATTGGTTTTCTTGTTTTTCACTATGTACCCACGACCTGCTTTTAAGATGGACACTCTTTAAACTCTGTTGATTAAAAAAAGTTATTACAGTAAAAATAGGTCATTATAATTACATGTAAGCTTTATGATCAAGTACTGACTTGAAATGTTTGCTACAGTAGTAATGAATTTGACCATTCACCCCCACAAGTTCAATCTTGTCCCCAAAGCTGCGATCCTTTTGGCCAGCACCATGAATCAAGAGCTCTGGCTGAGGACAAAACAGGAAGTCCCATAAAAATAGACTTCCGGCTTTCTGTGCAGCTTTAGAAATTTGAAAGAATACATGGGTAACAGTTACCATCTGTTACACAAATGGGAGACTACCTGAGTGTTCTCCCTAAATTTTAGCTCAGCAGGTAAGGGACCATTCATGGCCGGTAAGGCAAAAAATATGTGCCAGAGACGCACTTTCCTGGGGGGATGGGGGCAGTGGAGTGAGGGACATGGCTTTGACTTCGCTGTGAAATTTAGGAGCTAAGTTCTTGGAAACGTCATTCCCTCATTTTAGGACCTATTTTACGCAAATCAGCCATTATCTTTAGACATTAATTTTAAACGTTTGATTCCAATAATTTTACTCTGTCTTCAACGCCCTCTTTCCACAATGTGTGGCCCATAAAGAGAAAAGCTGTGTATACTTTAGTACACTTCCATATATTCATTTATTACCTTAATCAGATCGATCACAACTTGCATATAAATTTTTCAAAACAACTTATTTAATTTTAGTAAGTCTTCAAGAAATGCAGGCGGTAAGAATTTTTGCTTCAGACAGTACAAAATGTAAATTTTACTGGTTACCGCCTGATAAGGAGAACACTGGACTACCGCATCTGTTCACTATCTTGTTCCCAACCTTACCAGAGTATTCAGTTTGTAGCACTGGTGAAAAGCAAAAAGGAGAGAGTACAGGTATAAGGCACAAATATCAGGGAATCAGAAGTAAGTTGGACCTCAGAAAAATAAGCAATGGATCGAGCAGAGTAAGCCAATCGCATCCTTTCCCTTCTACTTTGACCACCAATGGTTAACTGCACTCAGCAGCCCGGTTTTACAGGCTATAAAATACTGTAGTTCTAAAGTGAGTAGAAGGAACTATGGAAGTAACCATTTTGGAAAATGGTGTCTTAAAAGAGCAAGAACATTATCGTTAACTTACTTCAAATTCTTGACTGAATCTGTAATCGCCATCCATGTGTAAAATTTTAACATGACGAGCAAAGTCATCTACCAAGACTGCCCCATGCTTTGCTTCTGTAATAAGGGAACAAACAAAAATAATATTCAATTTTCTTGAACAGTAATATTTCCATACTAGTATCATATTTGATTCCTCATGATCTGAAGTGAGGTGCAGAACTGAAGCCTTTGCGTAGTGAAGTTGTAAATTTGTCATGTGCTCAGCGAGTGTACCGTGTGGTTTGCACAGTGAGGCAGAAACTCAGGTCGGTAATATTTCTTTATATCACTTGGGCGTCTGCAGTTGACGTCATCCAGTGTGACGTCAAGGTGCATGTTAGGGTTGCCAGGCAACACAACTTCAAGTGCAAATGATAGCTGATGATGTGGTACACCATCATGTTTTCATAATGAAAGGCTGTCTGTTCCATTCAACAAGTGGCTTGAAAACCTTGTCGGGGAAGATTTAACATTGAAACTCCACTGCAGCAAGAAAGGCAATCTGAAATCCACCACAAGCAATGAAGAAGAAAACAGGCAGGTACATCGATCGGCCTTTAAGCCCAAGAGTGAATACACATGGAAATAATGTGAAATGGCAATTTGAAATACTCATTTAAGCTAATTATCCTCAAATGTACATATATCTTTCAATTCATGATAAATACATACAGCTTCACAAGATTTTTGGAACAACAAATTTCTAGTACAAGACTTGTCTTTACAGCTGTTTTGGGTAACACAAGACCTACGATGTCAAAAACTTTTTAAATAGGATTTTAGGTTTTCCATCTTACCGATTTCTCTTTGCAAAAGCGTTCATCATACCAGAGAAATTTGGCAAGGGTTAGTGTAGAAATCAAAATTGCTGTCTTCAAATTAAGACCTGAATGCATTTGACAAGCAAGGATAAGATGCCATGGTAAAGTTTGATTGACGTCACAGAAAAACCCAAATTCCAGTAAGTTTTTGACATTGCAGGTCACATGTTATCAAAAACAGCTTTATTAAAACTGATTCCACAAAAATTTTGGGTCAAGTCTGTTGTGGTTCAGCTTTAACCTTTATAAATTTTATTTTCCACTGTTTCAAGCCCATTATCAAACAATACCATACCCAAAAACAACAGGAAGATAGGAGTTAAACCACAAGATACTAAAATAACCTGACAGTTTTTCTGTGAGTTTGTCTACTATTTAACATGTATGGATTATTAGACAACTGACTGAAAGAAAATCAAGGGTTATTAATACGACTATTAGTAATATTTCCGCTGAAGAAAATAATACTCTTTCAAAATACCAACAGCATTCTATTGCATGCCAGTAGCTTAATTATTGCCCAAAAGATAAAAATAAAACAAAAAAACAAAGGAAAGAAAAGAAAACAGGTCAACTAGTAGTCTCAATAAAAATAAATATTTTTGACTAAAATACAATTTTTTCGCAGAATATTTTATTTATCTTCAGACCCAGGAAATGTAGCATCAAATCAATAAAATCAAGCTTTATAAACTTTTGTCAAGTAAAACAAGTAAATTAACCAGTCTATACATGGCATGCTGCATATTTTTTGCATTACAAAAAAGAAATATATTTTTAAAAAAATATATTGAAATTGCAAATTGGAATTTTCCAGAATAATGAAACAATTTCTTGTCTAGACATATTAAGGAAGTCTTGTTTCTAAAAAGTTAATGTTTCCTCAAAATCACTTCAGAAATTAGTTCTAAAATGCAGCTAATCATAAATAAACTGATAAGATTAAAACAAGTATTAATGGTAAATGCACTGTACTTGCCATATTGAATAAAATTGTTGTTCATTGATCTCCACTGACAACATTCACCCTCCATTGCATTTTAGAACTTAATTATTGCATTATTTATTAAACACTGACTGTGTAATTTTTAACATGCAGATGAGTTCTTGAATATTCCATGTGTGGTGTGTTGTTATATACCACAAGATTCAGTCACATTTTCACTTCACTTGTCACATAACTATGCTTACAGACCAAACACTTTTGTCATTCAGAATACATTAATTCATGACAGTCAGCATATAATAATATTATCATTGATTTCATAAACTTCAACACCAGGTACATCAATAATTTTTCTTTTTTCTACATGTATGAGGAAAAAAAAATGTGATTCAAGAAATTTTGAAAAGAAAAAAAATAAAAGTAAAATTTATAACAATGTTATTTTTTATACAGTTTTACTAAGTCAAGAATAATAAATTGTGAAATTGATGTTTGTCTCATGCTTGAAACATACCTGTAAATTCTGTATTATTGTAAGTCTGAGAAAAATGTTTGCACATCAAAAGCCGGGACTCATGCTAAAAAAAAAAATCCCAAGCCCCGAGCCCTCAGTGACATCCCTGAACTTGGGTGAAAAGAAAAGTTTGACTCTGTTTGTATTGAGGTTTGTATACCTGCTGATTCTCAAGCCTTACACCTCTCAAGCTTCTACAGCCTGAAACTTATGTCACATTGTCATTTAAATCGACAATAGTATCTAACAACACTAAAATCAATTGAAAATGTACCTAAAAAATTGCAGCTATTTGACTGGAAAGAGGCCAAAAAGGCAAGTTTCTTGTGTTCAATAAGTCCATAAATCACATTACACGAAGAAATGTGGAGGAAAAAACAGAGAGAAAAAGAAAGAAGGAGACGAATACAAAGAAAAAAAGCAATGGTTGCACTATTAGTTTTTACAGTGATGAGCTACTTTAGGGAAAATTTTAAACAAAAACAACTTGTTGTAAGTAAAAGGTCTACTTTGGCAGTAGAGATTTCAAAAACCCAGCTATTAAGTAGATATATCTAAAGAGACATAACTAAAAAATATTGAACAACTTACTTGAAAAACTAGTAAGACTTGGTCTTTTCGTTGGTGATGCAGGAGGTGGTTCATCCTGCACTGTGAAGAAGCCATTACAATATGCTTTGCAGCAACACTGTCTCCTATGTCTAAAAGAAAGATTCAAAATCCAGTGCAACATGAGATTTCACAGTTGTCTCAATTCCTCAACAATTTTTCATCCTCCTCCTCCGGCCTTTCTCCAAGGCCTTTAGATTTACATGTACATGTAACCATTGGACACACAGTGTACGTCAGTGTAATAAAAATTAATTACCCCATACTCCCCTACCCCTAAGTGCAACTCTGACTCACCACCTACACCACTTCCCCGAAGGGGAAAGTTGAATGCAACTCTGACCCAGTTATAAAGAGTAGAGTCCTGCTTCATTGTCACCTTGGTTAAATCATCATCACCTTGTTTACGCCACCACATTGTTATAACCATTATTTCTTGTTATACACAAATGTAAATACATGCATTTTAATTTAGTTTCCAAATACTATGCAAATTCTTGGCAAAACATCAATTAATATTATATTAATTATTATTAGTTATCACATTAAAATTATTACGATTTAATAACAAAATATTTAAAATTCCAAACATTATTTCAAATATTAACCCTCAGTAATTTTCTCTTTTCAAAGACCTCTTATTTATGACCTCTTTTTGGGCTGTGGTCTAGCAGTGCCTGTGGGCGGCCGCTGGGGCTTTATTTTTGCTCTTGAGTGACTATGAAATCTTAACTTTTTCATACAAATCCTATGCTGGGCACCCTGGATTTCAAAGGTTCAGAGCATTGGGCTTCAAATTTTCTTACAGTGCAGCCTTGACTTTCTTATTTCTACGACAGGATGTACATGTATGTAGTACTACAGCTTTAGGAAGGCCTCTGTTGATTTCAATTTCTTTTTTCCAGACTTGCCAACCCCCAAAAGGCAAAAAATGTGAGACTCCGAACCTAAAGCTGAGAAAAGTAGTGAGAAATGGGTAAAAAGTCGTGAGATGTCCCAAATTTCCTACAAGAAGGACTTCCAGTGGGGATTATGGGAATTGGAGGTCCCATATCATATCACATATCATTTTCTTTGGATTTAGCTGGCTATCTATTGATATCTGCCTTGAAAACAAACGCTGCATGTACGACTCCAAAAGTATTTAAAAATTGGAGTTTGACTTTTCGAGAAAGGGTGAGAAATCAGTCCCCAACTCGTGAGAGCATGAGATAGGTTGTGAAATCATGAGACTCACAACAAAGTAGAGAGACTTGGCAAGTCTGTTTTTCATACAATATATTAAGGAACAATGTAAGGCAGTATGTACACTGGCAGGTCTTCAGCTTCTGAAAAACATGAGGGTAAACTTTAACCTGACCATGAATAAACAGAATCTTCTTTACCTAAAGCGAAGATAACATCCAACTGCAACCACAACAACCAAAATTCCAGCAAGAATAGGAAGGGCAATACCAAGCGCCTCAATTTTTCCATTAGACTTGGATTTTCCATTAGAGTTGGATTGATTGGTAGAAACATTGGTTGGAGTACTGATGGTACTACTGTTGAGTGTACCTAGAGGTACAATGAAGTACACATTTAAATTACATTATTATTTATCAAACATGCAAAATCTCTGGGACACAGCATTGATCTCATGCTCTCCTGTAAAAGTCTTTAAATCGCTAGACTGTCTTGCTTCACGTGCAAGTCGACCTCAATAGTTTCTAAGCGAGCCTTTAGGCCATGGAGCAGCCGATCAAGACTAGTGACCTCACAAGTTTCTAAGCAAGTGGAGCAAGTTCTGAAGCCACAAAGCAGCCAACTGAGCAGCAAAGTTGCAAAAGGTTGCAAGCCGATATTAAACTGGACAAAGCACTTTTTTGAAAGAGTACCAAATCTCCTGAGCTTTGAGCTTTTCTATGCTAAGCTTATTTTTTCCCAAAATCTGAAATAATTTATTTCTTTGGATTTATACTACATGAACCGTTCTGGGGAATTTTTGTGCATAAATTATTTCATCACTATTAACGAGGACTGGAACAATTTGTTTGATTTGTTTGGGTGGGTTTAGTCATTGATATATATATATATATATTTATTTTTTCATTATATTTGAATTTTGTGGGGGAGGGGTATTCTAATACATGTGTACCAGTTGTTAATTTAAAGTTAGGTTTTCAGATTTACAGTGTACATATGTACTCTATCTGATGTGTACACATATAACCCTGTCTTTTTGAAGGATTTCGATCTCTTACCTGTAACACTGGTAGTTCCATTGCAAATATTATTTACAGGACTACAAATGTAGATGCCTTCCGATGAACAGTTGACATTGCTGATTGTCAGATTAGAGCTGTTTACTGTGGAACAGACCACATTTACAAAGAATGAATGAAATCTATCCATCCATCACAAGTGAAGACATCAACTGCACAAAGTACATATATCATGTTTGGAATGTTTGTGTTTGCAGCCAGGAAACGCAGGGCACTACTACAAACTTTAGATATTTTGAATACCTAAAAAAATCCCTACTTAAAGCCGCCCCAAAAAAGCCGGCCAAATTTTCCAACCCAAAAAAATCCTGGAATTGAAAATTTCAAACCCAAAAATATCCTTCGATCATCCCTGTCACTTGAAATCCAGAGATCCCCCAACCTCCGCCTCCCTCTCCTATGGAGTGTTGACCTGGTGGACATATATCTGTTACCAAAAATGAAATTATTTGCAGCCCTGTTGAGTGAAGACACATATTAATAAAATTAGTTTGTTGATGCTAATATTCTATTTTAAGTGTGCTTACCTTCTACCATACCTTTAAAAAACCAGGTAACATTAGCTTCCCGATATGTAGCGTCAACTTCACAAGCATTATTTAAGGTTCCTCCCAAAGTGACTCTGGTAACATTGGCTGGAATTGTTCCCTCAGCACCACCTGCATTTTCCCAAAGAGAACAGAAAATTAATATTTACACAATTAGAACAGAAAACATAGGGAAATGAGACACAAAGATAAAACACATAGATGTATAAGCTTTTACTCACACTCTACAATCACTGTATAGTTTTCCACAGAAGTTGAGTTATTACATCTGTAGACTCCTCTTATGGATTCCAATCTCCTAACACGGCCAAAGCTAATTTTTCCTTTATAATTCCAATTAATGTTGGAGCCACTTAAATTGCAGGTTAGAGTTAAGGGGTCACGCTCTTTTACATGTATCTTGACATCTGAAATAAAATGGATCCACTTTAACAAGTAACAGGTCTTATAGCACATTAGTCACAGCAAGGTTAATAATTAGACTGAGAAGGATAAAAGATAGAGTGGTCATTATCTCCAGCATAGATGTAGTGAGCTAAACTACATGTACCGGTGTATGGTGAGTAGTAAAGGATTTCAAATGCTGCTGGTCGTAGGTCATGATTAAAATTTCTTCTCTAATACTCTGCATGCAGATCAGATACATCTCCATCTTTCTTTGCTTCACAAGGGTAAATGATATCTCAGAAACAATGCTTCAGTATCCTGCTGTTTTACCACAAATTTGGGACAGTGCTCTCATCAATTTTGGACAGCACACACATAATGTAGCCTGAAGTTCAGCTGTCTCCTCGAGTTTTTGACTGAAGGAGACAGCTAAAATTCACACTAAATTTAATAAGGATCAATTCTGATTGGCTACATGGAGTGTTAAAAAGAAGAAAAACATAGGCATCCCTTTTCTGCATGAAACAAAGTAGAAGACAGATCTGCCTCCAGGGAAAATCTTTACTTATTAATTTTAATAGAGTTAATCTGAGCTTGTACACCATCATAAGTAGCCTGCATGACAGGCATTAAGAGGAAGAAAGAGATTGGGGAAAGGGGGAATTTGGGGGTATGAGAGTGCGAGAGGTGCTCCTTCACACTCTAATAGCATGCCCGAATTCCCTTTTAACACGTGCCACACACATGACATCAAAAGTTTATTGGGTGCTTAATATTATTGTAAGAAGCAAAGGTAAACAGTCAACTTGTCAAAATAAATCGGACTGACAGAACAGTACAAACCACAACACTCTTCTGCGAAACCAAACATCACAAAATTACATGTGAGATAAAAGATAATACCATGGAAGGCAAGATTTGATGATTGCCTTGACTGATTTTACTATCAGCTGCCTTAGTGTTTTGATTTCTTGAAAAAAAATTTTTTAAACATACATCTACAAGGCACCTGTTGTGAAATTGCCAAAGAATATTATTTTGATTCAAATAAATTTACTCCTAAGGAAAAGTGGTTAAAATCCTACTGACACGCTCAATTTCCTCATAACCAAAGATTAGTTAATTCAAAGCCACAAATGAAATAGCCTTTCGCTGACACTTGCTTCGACTGGCTTCAGCATAATTAATTTCGGGGCATAATTTAGTAAATGATCTACCTCGGGTGTACATTTGCATTGTAATGTTAAGAAACTGGGTTCTGTAAGATTAATGGATTTAGGGAAAAATCATGGCCTTAGTTGAGTAGTAACGAGAGAATTTAATATACATCCGGTCGCTATACGCTTCAGTTTCTAGTAAGCGAGTTTTGAAATTCGACCAGTTTAAAATTTCAATCCTGCTATGACCAAAGACTAAACTACCCAAAATGCAAACAAACAAAACAAAAGACTGTAGGAAAAAACTTGGATAAATGTAGGATAGCGAAAGAGATTAGAATAAGCAAAAGTGTATTTCATTGAACGGGTTAAGTTACAAGAAGCGACAGTGGATGAGCAGTCAGAAGAAATAAAAAAAACATCCGACTTTAAGCTTCGGAATGTGCGGGGAATTTAAAAAGCGGAATCATGAATACAGACTATCCCACCTTGTGAAGACGAAAACACAGCGCCTACAAGTGTAAACATCCATAGTAACTGCAGCGTGCAGACATTCAAGATCGCAGGAGAGAAACTGACAGCAAATGGAATCCTGCTGAAAAATTTGTCACGGCGCGAACCCGCATTCCCATTCATCACTTTCTCACTGATAGGGAATGGGTTAAAGTCTTATCGCCCAGTCCATTTTGATAAGCGAATGAAGTTAAAGTCATAAATTGACTTGCGTTGGACGATCGACTAATTTTACGCCTCTTTGATGCGCTTGATCTGACTACTTCCTTCAGTACCAACCGCCGCCATGTTTGTTTGAAAGATACAATTTATCACGTGACTACTCAAGCATTACAAAAACGAAATTTGAGAAAAATGACAGAGAAAAAAAAAATGATGGGAAAAAGCTGGCCACAACTTGATCTTTTTTATGCTGTTTACTAGCGCAACATTTTGTATTTTCTCTTGACAAGAAGAATTCGTTATAATTCAGCAAATACAAAAAACACAAAAACAATAAACAACATGAAAGAAGGGACGAGTAAGCGGAGTGCATGGGAGTTTAATAATGTTAATAATAATAATATAAAAATAATAAATTACACTAGTAGCTTAAGTTGCAGCTGGACTTTTCACTCGAGACTCAGATAGAAAACTTGACGCAGATTTTGATTGTCTGCGATGTAGGCCATTAAAGATTAGCATAGTCTGGAGTTCTTTTTCCAAGCTTTTTTCATGCATCCTGAGGGTATACCTGCCAACTCTCACGCCTGCGGGTTGAAAACTTCGATCTCGTGCCGGCTCACGCCTGCGGGCCAATTTCTCACGCCTGATTGAAAAATGTGAGTTGTTGCCGTCTTGCTTGACGTAATTTCCAAAAATATGTTAACTCAGACCCATGTAAGGAACAAAAACCATGTGTAAAATGAATAAATGCCAATACCTTCCTCGCGATCTCTGATTTTGTGGATAAGCGTTTTCTCGATAACTTCGCCTTCGGCAGACTTCGGAAGTCTTCAGAAGACTTCGGACTTCTTCGGAAGACTTCGGACTTCTTCGGGAATCTTCGGAAATGATCGTGTCGTCTGCAAAAATCCCAGCACTCCCAGGATAAAAATCTCACGCTTATATCTCAGAAAAAGTTGGCAGGTATATGAGGGTGGGGTAAGGGATAGCTAAACAGGGTAGACATGTACTTCCAAAAAAAAAAACCGGAAATTCTGAAGGGAAGGGGGGGGGTTCACGTTTATGGAATTCTAAGGGCATTGGGGGGGGTAATGCATTTTGGAATTTCCAAAGGCAAGGGGGGGGGTTAAAACATGGAAGCCGTCTGTGGTTGGGTACGGATATTTTCTGGAGTTGCCCATTTTCACTGACAACTACTGTAAAACGGATGCATTGTCCAAGTTTATGTCCCATACACAGCAGCAAAACATTTTTTGTTGTTGTCAAATAATTAAACCATGTTGAAAGACAAAAATTAGTAACACAAAACTGAAACACAGGCTTTTACATAGGATTCATGTTAATTTTAACTTCTGCTTCATTGCATGAGCTCCTTGGTTAGTACGGCAAAAAATCTGTTAGCAAGAAAATTATTAATATAATTTTGAATGGCATGTTCGACCAAACAACCCTAAATTAAAATATGTTTAAGCCCAGCGTGAATGGGGGTATTTCACTTTCAGTATTTGAATCTGACCTCAGCTCTATGCTATAAGGATAATTACACTACAATCAATACAAAAAAGAGCACTGGCTTAAGCTAAGTTTCTAGGGCTTTTCTTATGCTGACAGAATGTTTGCAACTGTTCAATTTTGATCTGTATAAGTGATTTGAGTGTTACAGAATAACCCTTTGAGTAACTTTTTGATGAAATATTGAATATTTCTTCTTCTTTTCTCCACATATGGGTTGAGTTGGTTGTTGGTTTCCTCCTTTGCTCTTAACTTGGAGCTTTTTCTCTGGATACTCCAGTTTTCCCCTCTCCTCAAAAACCAAGATTTTCAAATCCAATTTGACCAGGAATCAGGTAGATGAAGAACCACTATAAAAGCATGTGCTACCTCTAAATCGTCATTTACTTATTTATTTTACTTAACAAAAAAGGCATTTTGAGGAAAGAAAGTCCAGCTGGCAGTTTATCAGTGGTCATCACTAGCCTGCTTACTGGCAAGCTCTCTGACCTCTCGCTCCTCCCCCAAATGGAGAGCTTGTGTTCACAGGCTAGGCTACCACTGGTAGAAGTTAACATTTGAGTTAAGATGGGGGGCCTACTTTTGGGTCGAGAAGAAATATCTCAGCATCTCGCTTCTGCTAACCTGCCAGACAGGGATAAGGGACTGTGCAATAATTATCTGGAGGGGGGGGTTCTAAAATTAGCAAAGTAGGCCTTAAAATAAAGTTGCACCCCCCCTGAATTAAAGTTAAAATAACTTCTTGTCCACCCCCGTCTAGAGGGGAGAT